TTTAATTTTATAAGACATGTGGTACTGGCATTACTGGAGAATAGAAAGTAAGCCATTTTTAATGGTTTCACATAATATGATAAAGTACTTTTTTTTAAAACCCTGTATGGAAAATCTAGAGTTCTCCAAATCTTTTGCAATCTTTCATATCCCCTGCAGAAGACCTGCAGACGAGTAACGTTTCAGACTACGATATCTTTTACTGAAATGTTTACATATAAGGATGAACAAAGTCAGCAAAGAAGCTTATACAATTTTAATTTCAAAATCAGTGTTCATAGAAAATCTGATTGCAATTAATGGTCTTTGGTTTAAATTTTCCTTGGAGATAGGTTCTTCTAAAAAAAGACCAGAGATCAAATGGTTATTTTTTTTATTATGTTCAATTAGCCAACATATAGTACATCATTAGCAACACTCTCAATTTCATCCAGCAGAATAATTTTTGAATACTTATAAAAAACATTCAATCTTCTCACTTTGAGAAATAAAAAAAAAATGAAGGTGGCACATATATATGCCAACAAATAATTAATTATACTTGTGTGATACTGTTTTTCTCTGGGTAAATTCAAATACCCAGGCAATGACAAATGGACTGATCTTACAAATATAGGCCAACAGATTCGGTAACTCCCCTTTATCACTTGTATTTCTGGTTTTTAAAAATATGAATCAACTCATTTAATTCTTTAAAATACACACCAAGATATAAAATGAAGTCCTGAGTTATATTTGTTAAGTAGCAATACATTTAGAAAAAAGAAAACTAATCAATATTTTCTTACAACTTCACTGCCATGTCAAGCTTTAAGAAGAAAGTGGCAAATCAAATAAATTTCTGGTATTTCCTTGGTGTTTAGATCACACACTCACATACATACACACACAAACCAACATCTTTGTACTTCCCTCACTGTTACCCTGAAATTTACTGAATATGACATCAAAAAGTATCTGAAAGTTCCTCATATTTCCATGTCTATTAAGAACTGATCTCATACTAGAAAGTACCCTGGCACAGAACCTAAATTCCATAGAAAAAAGCAAATCTATATTAATATTGAATAAATCTGGCAAAACACTTTATTTAGTGCTACTAGATTTGTCAACAAGACAGAAAAAAAAAGTGTTTCAACTATTTTTTCATAGAAATAATTAGCTTAAAAATCAGAAGGCTTAATCTATTAAAACCATTCCTTTTGAATCACATGGACCATATACATACAGAGAGAATGTTTTAATATGAATGAGACACCAGCCTGGAAGCCTGGCTCTTTAGCAGTAACGCCAAACAAGGGAAGCACAAATCACAGGAAAAAGCCCAGTCACCTTTAAAAATTCTAAGCTCTGAGCTAAATATCATAACTTTACTATGACCCCTGAATCACAGCTGGCCAATGAGAAGCTAATTGTAATCCTTAAAACTATTGTCTGGGCAAGCAGGACACAGTCATATTATAATAGGCACAATTTAATGAAAGTGTGTATGTCAGGTGTTGGAAGTTTCTAGGAGACTAGCTCCTGAGCTATAGCAAAACAAAAATTAAGTATCAATTACTGTGAAGTGGCCTTTTCGGGTTTTTTTTTTTTTTTATTCATTTGACAGAGAGATAGCACAAGCGGGACGCTTGGGTGGCTCAGTCAGTTAAGCATCTGCCTTCAGGTCAGGTCAAGATCTTGGGATCCCGGGATCGAGCCCCACAGTGGGCTCCCTGCTCATGAGGGAGTCTGCTTGTCACTTTCCTTCTACCCCTCTCCCCCACTCCCCGGCTCATGCACTCTCTCTTCTCTCAAATAAATAAAATCGTTTTTTAAAAAAATAAAGAACCTTAAAGCAGCAGTTGAAAAAAACCCTTGCACAAGTTTTGAAATCAGACACAAAACTGAGAATTAAAGACCAGTCTATTCAAATCATCTTCAAATGCCATTTCTCTGAATTCCATGTGTCTTCAATGGAGTGAGAATGGTAGTGGGCTATGAGGCAGAGCTTGGTAAGACAGGGCATGTGGAAAGACTATCAGCAGCTGGACAAGAGAATCTTTAAAAGGACTCTCAAGGAAAAAAGATTTCAAGAACATTCCTCCTCTCTAATTTAAGTCAAATTTTATAATGTTGCTTTGTAATTTTTTTCTACATTTACTCCATCCTTTATTGTTTTCCTTTTTGATTAGAACCATATGAGCGATCCTGCTCCATTAGTTTATAGAATATAGTTTATAATTTTAAAAAACTTGAGTACAGAATGAAAAATAGAAATTTTGTTAATGATGAAATTGTAATATCCATAGTGAAAGCACCATCATACACTGCAATCAAAAAAAATCAGCTCCTTTTAAAGGAAGGACAATTTAGAGACCAAAACTATAAAAGAAAAACTGCTAACATTCATATACAAGTTTTAAGACAATTTTCTTTCCAATTAAAAAATACAGATTGTTACAGAAAGTTACAGTAACTTTATAGCTGTAAGAGGCGTAGAGAACAATCAACTCAACCTTCTCACCTCACAATCAGCTCATAGACCTAAGAAGCATTATCTTCAAAAGCCAAATTATGAAAACAGCCCAAGTGTCCACTGACTGATGAATGGATAAAGAAAATGTGGTATATATATCCAAGGGAATATTACTCAGTCATAAAAAAGAACGAAATCTTACCATTTGCAACAACATGGATGAAGACAGACAAGTATTATGCTGAGTGAAGTAAGTCAGAAAAAAACAAATACCATATGATTTCATTCATATGTGGAATTTAAAAAACAAAACAAATGAGCAAAGGGAAAAAAAAAAGAGAGAGGCAAACCAAGAAACAGACTCTTAATTATAGAGAACAAACTGATGGTTACCAGAGGAGAGGTGGATGGTGCAGGCAGTTAAATATTGGATGGGTATTAAGGAGGGCACTTGTTATGATGAGTACTGGGTGTTGTATGCAAGTGTTATATCACTATATTGTATACCTGAAACTAATATTACACTGTGTGTTAACTAACTGAAATTTAAATAAAAACTTAAAAATAAATAAATGAAAGAAAATAAGGAAGGAACCACAGTAAAGCAATTTGTTGTTCAGCACAGCCAGGTCACTGGCATAGAAACAGGTAACATTTCTAAGGGATACCTCCATACTACAGAGCAGAAACAGGAGGAGAAAAAAACCCTCATACCACTAAACGCAATGAAATAATTAAATAACTGTGTGTGAGCCTTAGCTTCCCACACTTACATAGTCATTTGTTTTTTTCAGGATCCCCATTCAAAAGAACTGTTTTAAGTTTCCCTAGCTCACCTCCAATTTTTTTTTTATTACAAAGTACGGTTTCTATTTGAATTATTTTGTTAAGGATAAAGCAACTCAAATACTACAGTATTGATAAACACAAGAATACTAAAAGTCAATTATGCTTACTCCTAATCCAGGAATAAATGGAAACAAAGTTTAAGTCAGCTCATAGACCTCAGTTTTTGCCACCTCCATCCCTCTTTGTTTCTGTTGTTTATACTGCTGAGGTCATTCCACTTTCATACTGGGAAACGTCTGCTTTTCCTGCTTGGACTTGCTTCACAGATCACTGAATTCTCACTTTCTCATACAACAGGACTTCATCACAGGATATAATTAATCCCACTAAAGCAAGCAAACCTGTTAAACTTTAGGCCCAGCTGTGAGACCTTGGACGAATTCATTTCTATAATAACAATAATATTTAATCCACAAGACCATGGTGAGGCTTGTATGAGGTTAATGTATGTGGAAGAGCTCTGAATGTTTAAAGTGTCACACAAAGGTGAGGGTCTCTGTTTCTTCATCTGTCATATGGGAGGATTCCATTAGCTGATCTCTAAGGACTTTCTTTCCATCTCTAAAAATTCTTTGATATTACATTTGAAGTACATAAAACTCTTCTTACTGAGACGGTAACTTTATAGCTGTAAGAGACGTAGGGAACAATCAACTCAACCTTCTCATCTCACAAAAGGAGTCCAAGGCAGGCGAAGGGACCTAAAGACCGGAGAAGTCAGTAGGAAAGTTGGGGCAGGCCGGACTGAGACCTGACTCTGCTGCAAAATACCTTCTGGTATGTGGTGCTCCTCACTATTCTGTGAGCTTAAAAATCCCTCTTCACCACAGCTTAAACAACTACCTTTTCAAACTGGTTACAAAATGAAAAGCTCATTAAAAAGATGTAAATTTTAAAAATAGTAAAATAAATAAAACAATAACGATAATAAAATAAAAAGATATAAATATTACTTTGGTGAAAATGACTTAACTGCTAACGGTCCAATTAAAAATGTTTACAAATAATACTTAACAGCAAAAGGGGATCAAATCAAACTGTCCAGCTATTTGTGTGATATTTAAGTCAGTGGGCATGATATAAACTCTATCTAATCTTTCCTAATTAAAGGTTTTAATTCTGATTTTGTTACTTACTAGCTATGTGATTGTGGGCAATTTATTTATCTCTCTGAGCCTCAGTCCCCTCATCTTTATTTTTTTCAAGTTTTTTTTTAAAGTAATCTCTATACCCAACGTGGGGCTCTCCTTTTACTTCCTCAGAAAGATCCCTGAAATTAAATTTATGAGGTCCTGGTCCTCAGATTCAGTTATCAGCAGTTGTACAACAACTAAACCTAAATAAAATGAGGAGCATTGTGACCTAATGCAAGACAAATGACGTTTGGAGTGAGTCAACAAATCTGAGTTTAAATAATAGCCTATCTAAGAGATTTGACCTTGAGCAATTTACCAAACTTCTCAAAGCTTCTTATCTGAAAATGAGACTATTATCTTTTTATCATTCTGTCTTTCCTATTCACATAGACATTGCAAATACTTTGAAAAGGGCATGTCTTATTCATCTTTGTCTCTTCCATAATAAGGTAAGGCTCAAAATTTTAAGATTTGATGCTGGAATAAGGCAAGAAATTGATAAAAAAGAATTCAAGACTAGAATAATGTGTTACATTATGAAAAAAGGAAGTACAAACCCAGTTTAACTGGCTCCAACTCTAGGCATTATGTCATTGCTTCCTTTTCTTTCCTTATGAATGATCCTCAAATATTCTTTTCCTACAGGAAGATGCAAAGTGGGAAATAAATATTAGTGAAGGTTATTTGAATCATATTTTAAAAGTGAGCATTCTTTAATTTACCATTAGGCAGAGTCAAACTGTTACTCGTTCTACTTAGTGGACTTGTTTTTAAGTGCCAAATAACTACGAGGTGTTTTAGTTTAGGAAATACTATGGGTTTAAGTAGACAAAAAAGTAACCTTACCTCAAAAAATTATTTTTAATGAATAACAATACCTTTGTTAAAGATAAGTACTCAGGATAGGATTGCATGAAGCACTGTAGTTCATTACAATATGCAAAAATATTTCTAAAACTAAGTTCTTAATCTTCTGGGTGAAGGGTGAGTGGTGAGACATATAAAACTATGAGAATCTGATGAAAACTGTGAATTGCACCTCCCCCAAAATGCACATACATGAATCATATTTTGCATAAAATTTTAGTTGAGACATTAAACCCAGTCATCTCACCTGTGAATCTCTAAAACCTGGTAGTAGACTCTGAGGAACAGTTTTTGAGTTATTCAAAATAGTGGATTTACAGGATTTTAGAACCATAAGCAATTTAGCAATCATCTAATGAAAACTGCTAATAGAAAAATGAAGTAGTAGTGCCGAGAAAGTTAAAAAGAATTAAGTAAAGGCTTACTGTACTCAGGAACAGAGGTGTCCAATTACTATGTTAATCCACAATAAGTCTGACTATGCAAAATTTAGTATAAATCAGTGCCTTTGGTTTAGAATAATTCTCACAATGGAACCCAAACAGGAGACTGCCAAATGGTCTTTTGGTCCAAACATTAGTGGTGGTTAAGAGAATGAATCTTGGAGTTTTTCACAGACATTTGAAAAAGCTGATCAATTCACTTAATCCTTCTTACTTTCAGGTTCTTCAAATACAAAATAGAAATAATAAAACCTACCTGTGTAGGATTATTTTAGGGATAAAATCAGATAACACACATAAAGTATTTAACACAGGGGTTAGTACACAGTAGGTGCTCATGAAATGATATGAAATAAAAATATTTCTTGTCTGCAACAAAATGGATGGATCTAGAGTATAATGCTAAGTGAAATAAATCAAAGACAAATACCATGTGATTTCACTCACATGTGGAATTTAAGAAACAAAACAGATGAGCAAAGAGAAAAAGAGACAAACCAAAAAAACAGACTGTTAACTAGAGAGAGAAAAAACTGGTGGTTACCAGAGGGGAGGTGGGTGGGGGGATGGGTGAAAGAGGTAAGGGGGATTAAGAGTACGCTTATCATGATGAGCACTGAGTAATATAGAGAACTGAATCACTATGATGTACACCTGAAACAAACAACACTGTTAACTATACTGGAATTAAAATTTCTTAAAATTAATACTTAAAAAATTTTCTTGTCAAGTCATGGAATTGGATAAAATATAAAACAAGTTTCTAAGTAAATGAGATGCTTTCTGGTTTAACAAAATAAGTGGCAAACATTTACTGATAATCTTCTATATAACATACTATTCAAGGTATTACTGAGGATATAGAAAAGATAAAACTGTCCTTTCAAGAGGTATTAGGTAAAGTCAGAGCTTTCTCCTCATTTCTGTCTTGGGTTTCTCTTTTTCCTTTTCCCCTTAGGGTTCAGCTTTTTTGCATACATTCTCTGGGTTCCCATCAGGACTAGGAGGACCCCTCACATGATAACCCCTAATTCTGACCTTTCACCTGAGCCTCAGACTCCTACACCCTGTTGTTTCTGGATATTTCCACCCGAGTATACCACAGGTAAAAACTCAACACGTTCAAAAGTGAGCTTTTGGTCTCTTCCTAAAATCCATCCCTTCTTTCAATTCCCTATCGGGGTTGACAGTGCAGCAGCCACTTAGACACACCAAAAGTCTAGCAATAATCACAGTTCACCAATCATCTTCAAGTCTCATTGATTTCTACTCTAAATGCTTTCCAAGTCTACTTTCTCAATTCCATCCCTATCAATAGTAGCCATATCCAGGACATTATCTCTCAGTATGAGCAATTTAGTAATCCAACCAGTCCACTCTTATCCTACCCCAGAATCATTTATTATACTGCTGCCAAAATGCTCACTCTAAAATGAAACTCTTGTCACTGCATGCACCATCATGTCAGACCCTTCCATGGCTATTATCCATAGAATGAAGTCAAAGTTCACCCACAGAAAAAATGGACAGTATGACATTTAAAGTACTCAATGACCTGGCTCATACCTATTTCTTCAGCTTCACTTCATATCTCCCCCTTTATCACACCACAGCCATACCGAATCCCATGTGTTCTCACACTGTTCTCTTTGCCAATATATCCTTAACACCTTTTGCACGACTTGTTCTTCAAGATTCAGGTCCAGGGTCACTGCCTCTGGGAAGCCTGTCCAGACTATACTTCCCTACCCCACCAAGCTCACACATCACTACAACAAGCACACAGGAGACATGTGTTACACTGAACAAAAATAAAACTAAGTGAACTAATGACACAGCAGCAATTAATTTACAAAAATAAAGCCAGTGAGAAGGGAAACTAGTTGGATTTCAGTGTTTCTTTGGAGAAAAGGAAGTCTTGATCTCAAGATCTGAGGAGTAATCGTTCACAGATTGTTGGAAGAGAGGAAATAAAAGCATTTGAGTAAAAGAGAGATGGAAATGAATACATTTAGAGGAGAAATGTGTATAGTAAGGCTGGAGGGATAGTAAACAGCAAATACAAACTCATAAATGTTGCCATCATCATAAAGATGTTTAGGGACCACAACCAATAAATCACCAGACTTTTCAAATAATTTTCTCTGAAACTATGTGGTATAGTTGCCATTTACAGACACTACCTTACATTTCCATTAGAGAGATATTAGTTTAGAAGATATTTTCATCTTTAGTTAATCCCTTGCAATCTTATAGATTTAAGAAAGTACTTCTACTTAATTCACATGTACTGAAGAACTTTACATAAAATCCTGAAATTATTATATATCTTTATGTTGCATGACAGTTTGCTGAATTGGAATAAGGAGACTCTTTCAGGTAGGTCAAGGGCTAGTCAACCTTATCAAATAATCTTTATTATTAGAACACTAGATTATTCTAAGTCAGAAGAAGAAAGTGAAAATATAGTAAGCTTAATATTCAAGTCACAGAGGAATTAAACTATAAATATTTTGTTCTCTGAATGCAGAGTAATTAAAGAATATCAATCCTGAAACTTACACTAGTCATAATGCAGACAACGTACAGCTCTATGAGGTATTCCCATATAAAGAGTGAAGATTAAGGTCATCTACCAAGAATAAAAAGAGGAAAAAAGTTTTGTTATCTCTGAACTACACTTAATGACGAAATCTACTGCGTGCAGTAAAGAGAGAAAACATTCACTCTAATACATTAGCTAGAAGACCACACAATTAGTCAAAAGGGAATCAAGTTAGAAGCTTAAGCAGCACAAGTAAATCAGCCATCCCAAACTGAAGCATCTCTAAATGGAGTTCTGTATCATTTTTATTTTATATATTTAACTATATTGCTGCATAAGATAATAACAACCCAGGGCATATCTCCTATATCAAAAAGAAAGGTGATTAGAAAACATATATGCTGACAAAGCACAGATGCACTTTGAAGCATAAAAGTCATTTGCATGGAGTTGTATGTCTTCTTGTCCTTGACTCTGTAAATACCAATTCCCTGCTTTCAGGTTTGCAGACAGTACAAAGTGAGATATAATGCTGAATGTTAATTTTCAACATAACACCGATGTTATGTCAGAAGATATGGGTAATTCTCACTCTCGCATAATACCTGTCATTTTAAAATACCCCCACTGATATGAACCAACGTTCGTGATGAAAGGTGAAAAAATCCTTTTGAGCTGTTGTATTCAAGTAAATTGACAGATATGAACACACAAACACTAGTCTTCGATTATGAAATCCCCTCACACATAAACACCATTGTAAAATGAATTTCTCTAAGAGGGACTGAAAATGTTACAAGCTTGCTAAAGAGAATAACACCAAACTATAAAAGAAACTGGCAGCCCAAGAATATGATGCTGACAACCACGTTATGCTCAAGTGTGCTGTAGATGGTCATTTAGATGCTGTCATCCAATGTCATTTGAATTTCTTCAAAACTCCATTTTATGAAAAACCTGCTGGCTTAGGAAAGGAATATAGAATCAACTATCTGATCTAAAACAGCAAACTGTTTTTGTCTGATATGTATTTATCTTTCAACAAGAAGAGAGAGTTATATATTTCTTGTGACCACAATCTTAACCATAAATTGGGGCTAATGTCTGCACTGTACAAATGTAAGAACTGTTCATAATAGAGTAGCAGATTTTATATACATACATAGTCCATTCTCACTATTGTGGTAGTTACATTCTATACAGTTAACATAAACACTCCATCAGTGAATACTGTACTTCTATTGCTTCTAGGAAATGGGAAATACAGGGTTAGCCTCTGATTACAACATTTTCATCAATTGGTCAATACATAAAGTTTATTTTATGTGTATTTCTGTTTAAAAACACATTTATATTGTTCATTCATTAAAATCGAACTCAACAGTGTAATTCATGACTGACCGAAGTTTATCTAACATAAATACTGTCACCATAAGGCACATCAGAACTATGTTGTATTTAGGAATACTACACAACACTTCAGCATATTTGTAGAACATGTTAAACAGCATAATCACCTCCAAAAAGACACAAAAATATGAAAAATGTGGCACTAAGGAGATGGAGAAAAGTACATTAGTTTATAGCATGAGAGTTAAAACAAGAAGGCAAATGTAACCTTGTTCAACCTCGGCTGAGAATGTGCACATCAGGCAACTCACTTTTTTAAATTAATCCCTATACCCAATGTGGGGCTTGAATTCATAACCCCGAGATCAAGAGTCACATGTTGCACCAACTGAGCCAGCCAGACACCCCCATGCAACTCATTTTTTCAACACTCT